GAGCAGGAAAGAACTCGTCAAAACCGGGTAAGAAACGCGGGCGGGCGGGTGGATCCTTCGGCGTTCCTGGAAGTTACTTACTTCCGGGTTCGCCGGCCAACCGGTTCGCGGGGACCGCCGCGAACCGCCTGAAACCCACCCCTGACCTTTACATATTCCATTCTCCTTCCTTCCTTCATCCTTCCTTCCTATAATCTCTCTGTCTGTCTGTCTCTGTTTCTTTCCTTCTTTCCTGCTCTTTGCTCTTCTCTCTTTCTCTCTCTTTCTCTCTGACTCTTTTTCTTTTTTGATAATTTTGTACTGTATTTACCTAGGCAAATATGGATTACTGTGCATGCCATTTTTGGAATAGTTGTTTAATAATCAAAATCACAAAATTCATTTGTGTTTCTTTTCAAACTAATTTAGGAATATGGTCAATTAACTTCTGAATATCTATGCATAAACTTGCTGTTAATTGTATACTGCCTAACAGGAAACCATGTGAAATATATTATTGTAGTTAGATTTTACTTCACAGAAAAATTATAAGTATCTTTATGTACATTTATTATTAAAAAAAGTTTTAAAATACAAATAGCAAATATTTCTTCTGGTATAAGGAGTATGTTGTCCTATACGATCTGAAAGTTCAGTCGTTCTGCCCATGGGAGATAAGAGAAAAAAAAGTCATTGAGATTCTTTTTAAAATTCCCATCAAATAACGCTACCTCCCTGATCATATGGACTATTATAAAGATAACCTCATGTCATATGAGCTGTCCTATCAATGCAGCATTTTAAATATAATATCAGATCAAAAGGAATAACAAAAAAGCCAAGCCATATAATGTAACCATCTGATCCTGACACCTAGGACTGACACTGCTCCAAAGAAATCCTTGCATTAAGAAATATTTTTATTGGACTTTCAGATTAAATATTTGATTTCTCGACCACACAAAGAATTTGGGATTCGGGTTAAGTTCCAAAACAGAAATGCGACACTTGATAAACATGCCTACGTGGAGTGTATGCCTTATCAAGACAAGTACTTCACCATTCGGCAGCTAGAGAAAGATATTGGCGTTCAGGTAGTTCCAGAAGAAGAAAGTACTGGAACTCAGACAAAATGGTATAAAACTCATAATTTAATTTTTGTTTTAAAAAGGGAAGAAAAATTGTGCCCTTTTTTTTTGGGAGGGAGGGGATTTTTTTTAGAGGGAAGAGAATAACAACTTTTACTTTCTTGCACTTAGAAAGCATGTGTGTGAGAGATTTCAGATATACTAATTTCATCTGTATTCTGCCTTTTGTCTATGATAGAATTCAGAACAATGTAATGGAGTTCTGAGTGTGACTACCCATTCAGTGGTTACTGATCACAGTCAGATTTACTTAGATTAAATAAGGTTGCTGTATCTTGTGAGTTCAGGGTCTGGCTCATGCCCAAGGAAATAGAAATGAGTCTTCAGCTGGGGATTCTGGAAATTGAAATCTAACCCATCAGGGGAGCATCAGACCAATAGATTTTTTTTGGATAAGCCATATGCTTCCCATAGTGATTTAGCACTAAAATGAAAACCATGCTTTATAAATCACATATCATCTTAAACAAAAAGTAAACAAATGAACCAGTGGTGGGTTTCAAAAATTGTTCGAACCTACTCTGTGGGTGTGGCCTCCTTTGTGGGAGTGGCTTGCCGCCCATGTGACCGGTGGGAGTGGC